TGGATGTGTTGGCCCAAAGGATCTGTTTCTGTGCTGTATGACTCTCTGACTCTACGCTGTAACACAGGGATGGGGGACTTATATTTGAAATATAAATTAGGGAAGGTTGGGGGGTTTTCCCTGGAGATGAAGTCTCTCAAAATCACGGGAGGTCTGGACCAGGGTCATGATCTGAAATCACAGGGTCTTGGTGCTACTCCTGACCTAGGACCCCAGGCCTCCAGCCCCTGACCAGAGCATGTTGTGTGCCCCCAGAGCCTCGAGCCCCATATGGACCCCTGGTTGTAGTACCCTGACCCAGGCAGAGACAACCATGCCCGATGTCGATGGGTTGAGAACCAGAGGGCACAGACTTAAAGCTGATTGGCAAAAGAACCAAAAGGTGACATGGGGGAGAAAGCTTAATTTTACGTAGCAAGTAACTGGGATCTGGAATCTACCTGAAAATGCGGGAGAGTCAAACTCAACTCTGGTTTTCAACTGGGAACAGAACAAAAACAATCTTTTGCGATGTAACCATCGTGCGGTTTTATGAAAGTGAGCGACAAGAATCAACAGAGAAGAAACCAACACGTACTGACAGCGTGATATCGAGAATTGTATCTCTCAATAAACCCCAGCTATGATTATCACCAGGACCAGACAGAATGGTTCGACAGTCATAGGCTGTATACAATGGAATAGATCAACACTGTTCACCGATGGGATAGAATTAAGATGGACTATTAATATTATTTGAATTGAATCACTCACTTGATCGAAATGATATTACTGTGACCAAGTGGGTCCCTATCAATGATAACAAGGTGTAGAGCTGGATGAACACAGCAGGCCAAGCAGCATCAGAGGAGCAGGAAAGCTGACGTTTCGGGCCTAGACCCCTATCAATGTTTTCTCTTCATGTGGGAAAATGGGATTAGATTTGGTAGGAGGTTGTCAGTGACTGGTACAGATGCAATGGGCTGAAGAGCCTTTTTCGGTGCTAAGAGTCTATAATGCTACACATTAGAACTATGCTTATCACACAGCATTGAGTGTTGTGTCCTTGCATTGTATTAACAAATTGTCTTGTTGTGTTCAGTTCCCAGCCGGAGTACGCAGGTAATTCAACTGAGTGATGAAACCCTTAAAGGGATGTATCTGTTTTTTTGCTGTTTACAGAGACATTTTTCTTACATGTGAGTGTCAACCATAGCACACAGCTCAACACTCTCAGATCACACCGTGAGCAATGTCCTGGAAGATTCTCACATCATGAAGTCAGCTCATTCCCAGGCACAGAGCCGTGGGATTGCTTGCTCTGGGACCTATGCACATAATCACAACCACTGAGTTTTGGGATGAGGTGAGGAATTTTAGCTCCCCGCGATTGAAGTGTGTCTGAATCCAACTGGATTTACTGTGCCTGCAAGAAGGATAGTGCATCCGTCTCAGAGTCAAGCACCAGTGAACTTACTGGGAGTGACTTCATTAGGATCACAGTTCACCTCCCTGGTAGAGGATTAGTAGAGGCCTGAATAATCTTATCTTCAATCCACCTGGATACATCAATGGGCAGGCTCTTGTGGCACAGTGGTAGTGAGTCAGGAGGCCTGGTTCAAGTCCCACCTGATCCAGAGGTATGTAACAGCAACACCATCTGGATGCAACAATGGATGGGCTCTTGTGGTACAGTGGTTGCATCCCTACCTCTGGGCCAGGAGGCCTAGGTTCAAGTCCCACCTACTCCAGAAGTGTATCATAACCTCTCTGAACAGATCACTTAGAAAATACCTGGACGCATCAATGAGGATATAAAAATAGGAGCAGGAAGAGACCATTAAGTTCATTGAGCCTGCTCCACCATTCAATCAGATTGTGGCCTCAACTTCATTTTGCTGATTGATTCCCTTAACTCTAGACTCTTGTGTCAATTAAAAATTTGTCTAACTCAGCACTGACATGGCCTGGCCTCCACAGATCTCTAGAGAAGAGAATTCTATACCCTGAGAAAAGAGATTCCATTTCATTTCCATCTTAAATGGGATACCCCTTATTTTTAAACTGTTCCTCCTGAACGTGGAAACTCCCAGAAGAGAAACATCTTCAGCCTCCCCTGTTGAGTCTCCTCAGTATAAAGGCAAAATCGCCAAAGTCCTACCATAGGGCTGCTCTCTCATTACAGACAGGTAACAGGGGGTGGTTTAACCTGAGGGTCCCCATGCCTCACGCGAGGAGAGAGGCTGAGAAGGAGAGTCCTTCATGTTGACCTCAGCTGGTGCAGGAATTGAACCCATGCTGTTGGTACTTCTCTGCTTCTGAGATAACCAGCTCCCCTCAATACCTGACATTTTTCAATGAGATCATCTCTCGTTCTTCTAAACTCCAATACTATATTCTAATGGAATAGTCACTCTGCAGACAAATGGCCCAAGAGTTTAATGGCTAATATTAGCTAATGCTGCCCTTCTGCACTATATGAATGAGAATGCCATGACCTATAAAGGACCCTGTAGGTGCCAAAGGTCAAAGGGCAACCTGCTGAATATTGTGGAAATGGGCGAGCCAATCATATAGGAAGCACATAATTTCCACAGATGTTTGACACAACAGCTCGTGTGTGTCTCAAAACCATCCTATTTACACAGCATTGCTGTAGTGGACATACTCATTGGCCCAGGCGATCATACATGACAGATTTCACCAATCCCCAGCTACACCTGATTGGCCGAATGATTGTATCAACATGAGCTGACCTCTCAGTTCAAATCGTTTGTTACGGAAATCTGTTAAAGACACAACGAACTGCCCCTCACCATCAAGAACTCTCGAATCAATGTCTAATGGGGCAAATTGACCCAGAAACCGAGGGCAAGAAGTTGACCCTCCAAACATCTACCGGAGACACAGCCAGACACTTGCCTTTCTCAAGAACATCTAGAGATGGGTGATAAATACTAGCCCAGCCAGCAACTCCCACACCCCCACAAATGATTAAAGAAACATGTTTTACTCAGCATTTCCCATTAATGCTAATGGCAACCACACAGATTCAGCCAGAACTTTGCGAAAGGGTAGGTTATGATGACTGGAGCTTAGAAACGAACAACTTAAGTAATCGGAAGAGTCAGAAGTTAATGAATTTTACATGTAGTTACAGCTGGATAACATCATTCAGCTGAATGGATAGTCTGAGTGACCTCATTGCTGACCTGATTGGCTTTCTAAAGTGTGATTTCACAGAAGAGCATGCTTTCTCATTAATAATTTTGAGAGTTTGGCATCTACTTCTCTCCAACTTTGTCTCACTAGAGACAGAATAATCATCCTCCAAAATACACAACACCCTACATCAATTGATGAATTGGGACAGTAAAGTTGAATTCGTTTCAGATAAAAGTCTGACTTTCCTTTGATGCTGTTGCTCCAAACCCCATTGGAGGTTACACGCCTCGGTCAGCTCAAATACTCATTACCAAATAAATCTGGCCTGCCACCCTGCTGAATCCTCACAAACACAAGAGGTACCCTGGATAGATCGGGATGTTCGTAAGCTGCAGATAAATATGAGCAGACTGCGTGCTTCTCTCTCTGTGATACACAGGCATTTAATCATGCACTGTAAACTAACACATTATCAGAAGACAGACACAGAAGAGCTGTCTCGAGATGCCAGTGGTTGTAAGCTGGCTATCCTGGATGTGGTGAGCAGTGGTGGAGGGTGATTTTGGTGCTCAACGTGTTACATTATCCATTAGAATTTCTGCACAATGTGAGTTGGTTGGAAACAGCATTCCCAAACTTGGGACTGGAACTTTGTTTCTCTTGAATGCACTTCCTAAAGCCCTGGGAAGGGGGAGAAAGAGTAAGGAGATCGAGAACATGATTGGATTAGTGAGAGTCATGGCTGTGTAGTGTGCCATGATTCCCTCTTGGGAAGGTTATGACCTAGTGGTATTATCACTAGATTAATTAATCCAGAGACCCTGGTAATGTTCTGGGGACTGAGTTCAAATCCTGCCATAGTGGAATTTCAATCCAATAAAAAATCTGGAATTAAGAATGATGGCAATTTTCGGAAAAACCTGTTTGGTTGACTAATATCCCGCAGGGAAGGAAATGCCATCCTTACCTTGTCTGATCTACATATGACTCCAGAGTCATATCAATGCAGTTGATTCTTTACTGCCATCTGGAAACTAGGGATGAGCAATAAATGCTGGCCTAGCCATCCACGTCCACATCCTATGAGTGAATAATTTAAAAAAAGATGGTTTTCTCAAGGAGCTTTAGGGAAGGAATTCTGCTGCCCATGACCGGTCAGACCTATATGTGATGCCATTTCCATTGTCAATGTGCTAACTCTTGACTGCTGCCTGCTGAGATACTTTAGCAAACAACCTGGTTGTGTTTGGTCCATCATTACTAGCTTCTCAGGGACATTAGGGGTGGGCAATGCCAACTTTGTCTGTAGTGCCAAAACCCTATTGAATGTAATATGTTCAGAAGAGAACATGCACACCCACAATTGGTAGACGAAAGGCTTTTAAAGGAACAGAGCAGAGATCAGGCTCCACTATAGAGGAGAGAAGGCTGGGGGAAGGAGGAGGTGAGGATCGAAGGATCACTGGGGTTTAAAGATGCGGGCACTAGTTATTTGCCCTACTTTCTTAGCCAGCAATGTTATTTGACACAGGGTGATCTTAAACTAAAGGGCAAGGAGAGGCATGAAAATAAAACTACGCTAAATTGAATCTGTGACATTTGATCAGCCAACTCATCCCGGCTTCTTTCCAAGCTCAGCATTTCATCTCGATTTGAAGGAACTATTCTACTCCTACCACAACATGACTTACAAGCAACCAGCAGAGGCTCTCACGGGGACCTGGAGTAAAACTGCGATGTCCGGTTAGAAGGGAGCATCGTGGTTTTGCTACAGACTCAACTAACACAGCGACAGGTGGGTAGGGTTTGGGAAAGTCAAGGTGGCTGCTGCAATCTACAATCAAGGGTCTACATACCTGGGAACTGGTAGCTGTAGCTCGGTGCGAATCCAGGGTATCCACGACCATACGTTGCGACAAAGTTTGGGTAGCCTTTGAAACAATATTTTAAAAAGGGAGAGAGAGAAAAAAAGAAAAGTCAGGTTAGACGATGCAGTTGTTGACTGTTGCGTGCATCTTAGTCTGATATCAGTCACAAACATCACCGTTCAACTATTTATTTAGTGAATGGAGGCAAGCGACTGCCTCCTTATTCGCTGAGTTCAAGGAGATTCAATCCACGTTTAAATCCTCGCTCACTCAGTCTGCAATGGGGGCACGCCTCTGTAAGTGTGCACCGACACTGATTGTAACGGGATTACTTCAAGGCAGTGTAACAAAGCTAAAAGTACAGGTAAAATAAATGGGGCGAGTGGACATTTATACTGATTTTAAGAACGTTTTGTCCCTCCTCTTCATAAAAACATAAGAATTAAGAGCAGGAGTAGGCCATTCAGCCCTCTCGAGTCAGCTCCACCATTTGACACGAACATGGCTGATCTCATCTTGGCCTCAACTCTACTTTTCCACCCACTCCCCATAACCCTTCAACTGGTTACTAATTAAAAATCTGTCCATCTCCTCCTTAAATCTATTCAATGTTACAGCATCCACTGCACTCCAGGGGAGTGAATTTCACAGATTCATGACCCTTTGATAGAAGAAATTTCTCCCCATCTCTCTTTTAAATCTGCCATCCCTTATCCTAAAACTATGACCTCTCATTCTAGAGTGCCCCACATGAAGAAACATCCTCTCCAAACCTACTTTGTCAATCCCCTTTAGCATTTTATATACCTCAATTAGATCTCCTCTCAGTCTTCTAAATTCCAGAGAGAGTATAAACTGCTCAATCTTTCCTCACAAGACAAACCCCTCATCTCTGGAATCAATCAAGTGAATCTCCTCTGAACTGCCTCCAGTGCAAATACAACTTCAAGTTAGGGAACCAAAACCATACGCAGTCCTCCAGCTGTGGTCTCACTAATGCCATGTACAGTCACTGCTGACAACTCTCTGTAGCTCGCCCCGGTGATCACGTTTCAGGCACTGAACCTTTCTGTTGTTCCTTAACCTTGTACTGACCTGAATTCTAACCCATGCAACATCTTCCAGTGCGAATGCCAACCAGGTAGTAATAGAGAGGGACAAAAGAATCCTGGCCAATTTTCCGCTCCCCTAAACTGGTGAGCTGCAAGATTGACTGCACCGTCCCTAACTCAGCGAGATCAGGAGCTGGCTGTCGGATTTCTTTCTCTTGCTCATGAATTTTTCTCACCTTGGGAAGGTGATGTGAGAGAAATATTTTGGCCAAATCCAGTAGGGGTAAAGGAGAGAACAAAACAGGGAAGGAAAAAGCACAATATAACTGCAAATATGTTTATACAGAATACACTGATGACTTTACTACAAGAAAAATCTTCTCCAGGATTGGAGTCATTAATTGTGGTTATGCATGGAACACACTGCCATCTGGGAATGATGAGCCATCTGGACTTGACAAAGGAGCTGAATGGGATCATGATACATTAGTAATGTCCCTACCTTTAATCAGGGGGGTCTGGATTCAAGTCCCACCTGCTTCAGAGGTGGGTAAACCCCAAACAGAAAATATTAAAAAGGAGCTGGTGCACGGGTGGTGTTTAATAGTTAAAAACAAAAAAAAAGGTCACGGTAATTTGGTGGTGGGAAAGCTGTTCGGTTGTGCGTGATAATATTTCCCAATATATATAAAAAAAGGAGCTGGGTGGAGCAATGGTTCATCAGGGATTGTAGGATATTGGGAAAAGAAAAAGGCACCCCTGAGATGACAGAACAAGCAGGGCAAAAGCTGACTTTCAAGAGCTTACCCAATCATTAGACTTTCATGAACTTAACCTTCACCCTTTTCACTAACTTAACCCCCTTAAGGATCAGTCAAGTATCTCCAAAACCATGATAACCAAGTATTCATTATGTGAGCACTATCTGCAGTGTATTATTTCAGTTTTAGCATTAAGAAGACTGCTTTTTGTCAGAGCAATGTGGTTCAATTTATGTTCTAACAAGGACCGTCAGTCACTCTCACTGGAGACAGCAGTGGTTCAGTGAGTAGCACTCCAACCTCTGAAACACAACATTCTGGGTTTGCGCTCCATTCCCAAGATTTAAACACAATGTCTAGGCTGACAGTCCAAGTGTAGTCCTCAAGATGGTCAGCTTTTCAGGCCCTATCAACATGACCCACCTCACTATCAACAGTACCAATTTTCGTGTCACCTGCAAACTTACTAACTATACCTTCTACATTCACATCCAAGTCATTGATGAACTTAACAAACAGCAAGGGCCCCAGCACCGGTCCTTGTGGTACACAGTTGGTCACTTCCTATCATAAAAACAATCCTTCATCATCGCTCTTTGTTTCCTCTTTGCAAGCTAATTTTGTATCCAGCTCAACAACTTGCTTTGGAATCCAAGGGCTCTTGCCTTTTGGACCAGCCTTCCATGTGGGACCTTGTCAAAGCCTTAGTGCAACCCATGTAAGCCACACCAACTGCACTATCGTCATCAATATATTTAGTCACCCTTTTCAAAAATCAATTAAATTAGTCAGACTGGATCTCCCTCTAACAAATCTGGGCTGGCTATCCCCGATCAATCTCTGCCTTCTCAAGTATTGATTAATCCAGTCCTTCATAACTTTTCCTAATAATTTTTTGACCACAGATGTCAGATTAACTGGTCTGTGATGACCTGGCCTATCCCTGCTGCCTTTCTTGAACAGAGGCACAACATTAACTATCCTCCAGTTATCCGGCATTTCACCTGTAGCCAGCAAAGTATTAAATACCTCCACCAGGGCCCTAGCAATGTGAGTAACCAGTTTGCCTGAGTGAGTAATCACTTCTGCCAATAGCATAGTGCCTCCACAGAATCCCAGATGTGGCACCACCCAAAGCAGACCTGCTGTTAACCACATGTGTTGAACATGTATCATACATTTAGGGTGGCACGGTGGCGCAGTGGTTAGCACTGCTGCTTCACAGCGCCAGGGATCAGGGTCCAATTCTACCCTCGGGCGACTGTCTGTGCCGAGTTTGCAAATTGTCTGCGTGGGTTTCCTCCAGGTGCTCGGGTTTCCTCCCACAGCCCAAAGATTTGGAGGGTAGGTGGATTGGCCATGATATAGTGCCCAGGGATGTTTGGGTTAGACATGGGAAATCAGGATAGGATAATGGGTCTGGGTGGGATGCTCTTTGGAGGGACAGTGCAGACCTGTTGGGCTGAATGGCCTGTTTCCACACTGTAGGGATCATGATTTTTGGAATTTAGATTTTTAAAGAAAGAGGAAGATGGATTTTGATTTGTTTTTGTTAAAAGAGTACAACATCATCCAGACAAATAACCTAAATCCATAATTTCTCAGAAGACGTGTGATTTCAGTCAACTGGCTCTGGGGATGTGTAATGTGGCAGGTTTAATAAAGGATGTCAAAAGATCCCCTTAGAAACAGGGACTATAACTTAGTAGAGTTTACCTTTTGCTTTGAGAGGGAGGAACTTGAGAAACGAACAACTAAGCTAAACTTCAATAAGTGGAATTACAGTGGGATGAGGGCAGAGCTGACTGGGGCAGACTGGGAAAAGAGTTCAGCGGCAAAAATGGCTGAGAAACAATGTCAGACATTTAAGAAAATAGTTCATGGCTCAAAACAAAGGCATATTCCATGGAGGAAGTAGGATACAAGGAAGGGGATAAACCAACCATGGTTAACCAGGGAATTTAAGGATAGCATCGGATTGGAAGAAAAAAATATACCATGTGGCAGCCAGCAGATTACAAAAGTTTTAAAAACCAACAAATGACAGCCAAAAAATAATGAAAAGGGAGAAAATAAACTGTGAAAGTAAACTAGCAAGTAATATTAAGATGGACAGTGAGAGTTTTTGTTTTAAATTCCATAAAAAGGAAGACAGCAGTCAAAGTGAATGCAGAGTGAGAATGAGGTTGGGAAATAATAACGGGAAACCAGGAAAAGGCCGAGGAGCTGAATAAATACTTTGCATCAGTCTTCACTGGAGAAGACACTGATAGAAATTCAAAATTATTAAATGCTCAAGGGGCAAAAGGAGGAGAGTAAATAAATGTAATCGCTATCACTAGAGGAAAAAGTGCTCGGGCAACTAATGGGGATAATGATTGATAAGTCCCCTGGACCCGATGAATGGGATATTAAGGAAGTTGCTATGGACACAGAGGATGCGCTGTTAGTAATTTTCCAGGGAACGTTAGACTCTGGAAATGTTCCAGAGGGTTGGAAAACTGTCAATGAAGCACCTTCACTTAAAAAGGGAAGGAAACAAAACTAGGTAACTGTAGGCTAGTTAGCTTCACATCTGTTATTGGGAAAATGTTACTGTCTATTATAAAAGATGTAATAGCAGAGCATTTAAAAACACATAATACAGAGTCAGCATGGCTTCATTTAGGGGAGATCATGCCTGACAAATTTAGTCAAATTCTTTGAGAAGGTAACAAGCAGGATAGATAAAGGGGGAGGTGGGTGGGGCATGGATGTAATATGTTTGGATTTTCAGAGGCTGGTTAATGAGGTGCCACACATTAGGCTACTTATTAAGATAAAGCCCTTGGTGCTGGAGGTAGTATATTAGCATGCATTGAGAACTGGGTAACTATTAGAAGACAGAGAGTTTGGATAAGGGGGACATTTTCAGTCTGTAAATAGTGGAGTGCCACAGAGATCAGTGCTGTACAAGGCACTAGTCAGACCATTGCTGGAATACTGTAAGCAGTTTGGGCCCTTAAGGAAAGATGTACTGGCATTGCAGCAGTCCAAAGAAGATTCACTATGCTGATCCCAGGTATGGAGGGGTTGTCTCAGGAGGAACAGTAAAGTAGATTGGGCCTGTACTCATTGGAATATAAAAGAATGAGAGGTAACTGTATTGAAACATACCAGGTTCTTAGAAGACTTGACAGAACAGATGCAGAAAGGTTGTATCCCCTTGTGGAAGAGTCTGAGACTGGACATAATAAAGGGGTCACATATT